CTAAAAAATGCTAAGGCTTCAGCAAGTCATCATCTTTTTGCTGGTGCACATTCTTGCCTTGATCTTGATGGTTGCTGACTGATCAGCCCGATGGCTGCTGAAGGTTGGAGTGGCTGTGGTTAACGTGTTAAAATAAGACCACAGTGAAGTTTACTGCATCAATTGGCTTCTCCTTTCACTAAAATTTCTCTGTAGCATGTGATGCTGTTTGATAGTATTTTACCCGCAGTAAAACGTCTTTCAATACTGGAAACAATATTCTGAAACCCTGATGCTGCTTTATCAATTCAGTTTATGTAATATTCTAAATCTTGTATCGTCATTTCAACAACGTCCATAGCATCATCACCAGGAGTAGATTCCATATCAAGAAACTTCTTTCTCTCCTCATCCATTTTAGTTGTTGGGGTTTTCGTTTGTTTGTTTGTTTTAGAGATAGCGTCTTGCTCTGTCACCCAGGCTGGAGTGCCCTGTCGTGATGTAGGCTCACTACAACATCTGCCTCCTGGGTTCAAGTGATTCTCATGCCTCAGCCTCCCAAGCAGCTGGAATTACAGGTGTGTGCCACTGCCCCGGCTAGTTTTTGTATTTTTATCAGAGATGGGTTTCACTATGTTGGCCAGGTTGGTCTTGAACTCCTGGCCTCAAGTGATCCGCCAGCTGCAGCCTCCCAAAGTGTTGGGATTACAGGCGTGAGCCACCATGCTGGGCTCCATTCAAGTTTTATCATGAGATTTCAGCAATTCAGTCACATCTTCAGGTTCCGCTTCTAATTTTAGTTTTCTTGCTATTTCCACCACATCTGCAGTGACTTCCTCCACTAAAGTCTTAACGTCACCCATGAGGGTTGGAATCAACTTCTTCCAAACTCCTGTTAATGTTGATACTTTGACTTCCCCCCAAGAATCATGAATGTTCTCAAAGGCATCTAGAATGGCAAATCCTCTCCACGAGGTTTCCAATTTACTTTTTCCAGATCCTTCAAAGGAATCATTATCTATGGCAGCTATAGCCTTACAAAATGTATTTCTTAAATAATAAGATGTGAAAGTCAAAATTACTCCTTGATCCATGGACTGCAGAATGGACGTTGTGTTAGCAGGCATGAAAACAATATTAGTCTCCTTGTACATCTCCATCAGAGCTCTTGGGCAAGAAGGTGCATTGTCAATGGGCGGGAATATTTTGAAAGGAATATTTTTTTCTGAGCCCAGTAGGTATCAACAGCGGGCTTAAGGTATTCAGTAAACCAGGCTGTAAACAGATGTG